CGACCCCTGACTTAAACACACACACACAGGCTTGGGTCAATCAAACATTTCACTTTTTACATTTGTTTATAATATGAAATATATACCAAAATGAAAAGTTGTTTTGTTTTGGAATGAAAACTCAAAATGGAGCATTTCCACTGTGTGGTAGTTTAGACTTTTTTAAAACTAAATTTCACTGAAATAGACAATTTCTGTCGAAAGATTTGGTTTTGAAAAAATGGCATTTTCTGACAAACGTTCCATTTGAATTTTCATTCAGTTCTATTTATTTTTGTTAATGTCACATACATGTTTCTAAACAGCATATTAATGGTTACCAGACTAACCTAATCTCTTCTTACTGCTTTAACTGTCATTCATTATGTACAATTAGCACATCTCCGAGAAGCTCTTCCTGAGTAAAAGATGGGAAATGGTGCTTCTTGGAAGAGTCCAAAGCAATTTACTAAACTTTTACTGTATAAGTAGTCAACTATAAAGCACAGACCCAAAGAGAGGGAGGAACACAAGAAGATAACAGTAGTTTTTAATTATTTTCTTTTCCCCCCTCCCTGAAAAAAGTCCTTTGTACCCATATCATCCCTCAGAGTTGAGTTTAAATCCTGGCCTTGACCTGCTACCTTCTTGAGCCAGATACATTCCGCCCATTAATAGATTGTTCATGTCACTGACAAACAGGAGGTTCAGATAATTGCTTGTATAACAGTATGTATGTTCTTTCTGAAGGAAACATTTTGGAATTCAGTTGTGACAGTATTAAGAATAGTACCAGCAAAAAATGGGTGACCATGTCAGATCTGGAAAAAGTGTTTGTGTTAAGCCCTCCTCATGATGGAAGTTTATAGCACCATATGAAGAATGCTGACCGTGGTGGGAGGCCTATTGGCAAACTCTTTCAAAGGCACTTCATGGATAGAAAACTTTGTAAATTAAATGTGTTCTTTTAAAAAATAGTGAACTTTAAAAATGTGTTACTTGGTTCATTTGGTTATTGAACGTGAATGTGAAACCCCCTGTGGTCATTTAAAAAAAAATACAAAGCCTTACTCACAATGCATAAAATTCCAAACAGGAGTTTTAAAGTTGTGTTAAAATGGGAACATTCCTGAAGGAAGGTGTAATGATTTTACAGATTCACAAATTAAATTCTGTGTTACATTTTAGGATTACTGACTCTCAAAGGTGGGGTGTTTTTTTGTTTTTGTTTTTTTTGATAGGCTTCAGTTGTAGCTGCTTGGAATAATTAAAAAATATTTAGCAAAAGCAGTTTAATGATTGAACTGTTCATTGCTGAGGCCTAGGAACAACCTTTAAAACTTCAGCTTCCATCACCAGGGCATCACAGTCTTTCAAATACAAGATCGTAGTAGCACTCAATATTACCACACTCAGATTCCGAAAGTGTGTAATCCATGCAGCATTTTTGTTATGAAATTAGAGCAGCCAAAGCATTGTGGACTGGCGTGACTCTTCACTCCTCTGCAGTCACATGGTAGTTGCAGCACCAGAAGCAAGGGAATTCCTCTTTCAAAGACATCTCCACACAAATACACTAAAAAAAGTTAATTGGTGGTAAAGTTATCTTTAACAATTAGCACTAGAATAATACTGTACAGATTGCAGGTTGTGTTTGCAGCTTCAGCACTTGTGGAAAAAAAACCTATCCTTTTACTCCCAAACTGAGCAGGTTTAGTATGGATGTCAATAAGAGAAAATGACCAAGGAGCCCTATGATACATTTTTGCACAGTCACTTTTCAAAGAACAACACTACTCCCTTATTCATAAAACAACTGTAAACACCTAGTATGTGGGTTTTTTTGTTTTTTTTTACTTTCAGCGTTTGCTCACAAATTATCCAGCTTGCTTCAGAGAGAAGTTGGGCGGGTACAATGACTGAATTTTAATCTTGGCTGTACCCCAACTCATTGTGTGCCTTTGGACAAAGTCACTGGCATGTTGATGGTTACTCAGTAACACATGGTAAACTGCTCAACAGTTACACTTGAACCAGTATTTGGTTTTGTGAATCATGGAAATATGCATATTTCCATAGAACCAATAGCAATTCCTACGTGAATCAGATCAATTGTCCTGTCTGTGAAATTTTCCTCTGAATGAGGTTGGTACAGGATATGGTGACTAAGCATCTGTGAACAACTGATAGGAAAGATTTGCCTAATTGCCAATCAGTTAGGGTTGTCATATCTATGGAAATCAGTTTCTGCCAACACTTTCATTTTTGACATTTCAAACAGTGCCTCATCTTTCGTACGTAAAAAATGTAGGTATCTCACTACCATGGTCTAGGACAACTGATTAAAAGCAATACTTCAGCTGTCTCACAGTGGCCTTTTACTTACTCCTTTTGCCTGTGCTAGGTCAATAGCAACTTTCTCTTGCAGCCTTCCTGCTTCTCATCTACATGAACTTCATTGTGTTATGGGTATGGTTAGTTGCTCGTCCATCAAACCACTCTAGTTACACCTTACATTTCACTGGCATTGCTTACTTTTCTGTTTGAGCTGCATTTCTATTTTCTGGATCTCTGTGTGGCTCAACTAAGTTCTTGCAATTTGCCATTTAGCCATACTTGGAGTTTGTTTCTTGCATTTCTGCTTACCTGTTTTTTGAGGATTATTATTAATAATAATCATATGTATTATACTGAATAGGAACCCCACTCATAGACCAGCGCTTTCCTGCCTCTGGGCTATATAGCCTCCAATCTGTCCTCTGCCTGATTCAGAGCAGAGACTTCAACCCGTCTCCCACCTGAGTGCTCAACGTCCTATACAATGATTGAGGTGGATTAGGCAGCTGAGAATGGGATCCAAAAAGCCAACAAGATGAGTGGGAAGACACCAAAGCTAATGAGAAGGGTGTAACCTAAGCCTAAGGGCTTGTCTACATAGTGCATTAGTGTACACAAGCCAGGTGTAAATACTACAGCTGACCAGTGGGTCACACACTAACTGGCCCTGTGGAACCTGCTGGCTTGCTCTAAAAGTTCCTGAGTGCATCCTAGCATTGTATTGGGCTGAAGGGAGACCCTTTGGGAGATTCTGCTCAGGATTCACAACTGGGCCCCCTCTCCTGGAGTTAGGTACTGGAGCTGTTTGTTTTGGAAGAAATGCTGCTGCTGCTGCATTATGCCCCCACCCCCTTATACACTTTAAGCCAGAGGCTAGGACAGTGTGATTTGGGAGAGTTCTTCTCCAGCTAACATGGAGAAGGATTTTGGGTCTCCCACCTCTCAGGAGTATGCCTTAACCCCGGAGCTATAGGATATGCTGGGGTGGGTCACTCTCAATTTCTCCTGTTGGAGCTGTTCCACTGTGGATAAATTATTAAATGAATAATTATATAGGCATTGGGCCAGCAGGAGAGTTGAGTGGCTCTATAGTCTAGAGTAGGGCACTCCCTGCAGATGAGAAACCTAAATTCAATTTCCTTCTTCCCCTCAGGCAGAAGGGAGAATTGAACCTTGGTCTCCCACACCTAGGGTGACCAGACAGCAAGGGTGAAAAATCGGGACCGGGGAGGGGGGGTAATAGGTACCTACATAAGACAAAGCCCCAAATCTTGGAACTGTCCCTATAAAATTGGGACATCTGGTCACCCTACCCACACCCCGCATGAGTGCTCTAACCATGGACTAAAGGTTATAAGGGAGAGTGCCTCCTTGCCATCTTATGGGGGCTTAGAATGTGTCCTAAGTGTGACTCCTGCTGGGGTTTAGGTACCAAGTTTATGGGTGATGTCTGGACTTAGCTGCTGAATTTTGGGGTCTTTTCCATCAGAGATGTAGGCACCTAGGGACTTTAGGTGCCTCTAGGGCAGTGGTCCCCAAGATTTTCATGGTTGCAGCTCCCAGGCAGACAGGGGCAGGAGGGCCAAGGCTGGGGGGGGGTTGCAGCTTGGAGCAGGTGTGGGGCCGGGACTGGAGCCACAGCTGGGAATGGAGCTGGGGGTGGGACTGGGAGCAGAAGCCATGGCTGGGCCATAGTCAGGGGCCAAAGCAGAGGCCGGGAGTGGAGCCACGGCCCGGGGCTGAGGCTAGGGTCAGGGCTGAGAGTGGAAGCCGTGGCTGGGCCATGTTTCGGGGCCAAGGCTGGGGCAGGGAGTGGTGCTACAGCTGGGAGCCAGGGCTGCAGCCGGGACTCCGGCAGAGCTGGGGGCGGAGTGGGACTGGGTGGTGCTCCCTCCTGGGCCCCCTGTGGGGGCTGGCCAGGCCTTGCTTTGTCCTTCCCAAATGTTCCTCTGCACTCCTCTAGGGCGGGTGTGCCCCACAGTTTGGGGCCCACTGCTCTAGGGTAAGGGGCAGCTGAGCAGGGGTTTTGTGAATGACAGTGATGCCTTTGGGACTCTACCCCTTCATGGTTAGTTTAAATCCAAAGCATGAGGGTTGCTATTCCTTATAACGTTTTATCCTGGTTTGTGATCTTTGAGGTTGTCATTCATATTATTTTTCTTTAAAATGTGTTAAATTTTCTGACCTGTGTTTATTGAGCATGACATCCTCATCAACAGTCCAGCCTTGATAGCCAAGTACTGAGAGTGTTTTAGCCTAGTCTTTATGTTGCTACATAAATGGATCTCAGATGCCGTGTGGCAGCATGCTCTGAGAAGATGCTAAACTCAGTGTTGCAATGGGGGGTGGACCATACCTGTTTATAAAATTCTTGCTTAGTAAAATAAGGAGTTACCTGCAGTCATCTCCTCCTGTACTGATAACATACTTGTCATCATGAGAAAAGCGTATGCTGGTAACATGAGCAGAATGACCAAAATAACGCTTGTGTTTGGCCTATTAGAAAGAAGACAGAGTATTGCAGACAATAAATAAACTATTACAGCCATTAAAAACAAACAAACCCTATATTCTTTTGCAAGTATATGAAAATACACATTTCATTTAGTGTAATACACTTCTAACCTATTGGTACTTCTTTGTCTTCAGGGCATTGTAAAACTGGTTAAACACAAAACCAAGCATTTTAGAGTAAAATAAAAGCTAAAAAGTACACTTACAAATTTTTCTGTGCATGGAAAGTCAAAAAGTTTCACTAGACCAAAATCATCTCCTGTCACTATATTTAAACCAGCATGGGTCACACACGCACAGTTCACATCTGCTTTATCAGCGTTTCTTGGCCAAATCCCAATGACTTCATCTCCAAGAATGCTGCTCCAAAATATAAAAAAAGAAGATAGTTATGAAAAAGCATGGGCCACTAGCTCTTCTGGACCAGTGTTATGGGCATAATGGTTGGCTTTACAGCAGGACAATGGTGGGTGACTATTAGTAAACTGCTCTCCCTAGGGATTCACCTTGTCCTTTTACATTATTGCACCCAAATGCATCTTCATGGTATGGAGAGAGCACCCCATGTGCTCATTTTCCCTCATGCCCTAGACCACAACACAAGTCCCATCAAGATGTACACCCCTCATGAGGCACTAGTCCCCATATATCCCCCTCATGTGAGATATAAATACATCCTGTCTCAGTGAGACTCTTCCTTTCCCCCACATGTATGCTCCCACTCACATTGAAATTTTATAGCAGTGATGCCTCCTAGTAATACTCCTTTCCTGGGCCCTAACTACTCAAGTGAGGGGATTATTGTTTGTATCTAGAGTGTTTCTTAAAATAACTGTTATTCCCTCACTTAGAATGTTTGCCTACATATCAGCTGTCAAATGTATTGGCACCCTCTCCTACACTCGCTGACAGAAGAGGCCATTGTAATTGCATTGCAGTCTTGTGTTTGCTTGATAACAAAGCAGTAAGAGCGAATGTGTTATTCAATCCTACCCTTGTTCCCTAAGAGCTAAGCTTGTGTGTATTGTCATCTCACTGGATACTGGCAGATCTTCTGATTAATGCCTGTACCAGTGGCATTAGTATAGTTCATTAGTTTTAAACTACACTGTAATTAAAAAGCCATAGAGAGTAAATAGGCTGCGCTGTTCATTACAGCTCTGTCTACACTAAGCGTACAGCCATGTTTTTTTAATCAGGTTGTGATGGTCCTATGTAACTCAGTTATAATAACCACATTTAAGTAGCGGCCATGCAACAACTTTTTCATAACATGATCATGTCAGCCCTGCTTTCTTTCTAGCCACATCTATCATGCCGCCTAACTGTGTATGTATTGGTGCAAAATGGCAAAATGTGAGAAGTGACCGCAGAGTGCCTCAGCAAGGGACAGAGTGCCTGGAGGGCTGCACACAAAGTGCATTCTGGCATATCAGGCAGCTCAGGTGGCTGGGAGTAAAGGGGACTGGCCAAGAGTGATTACACAGATGTGGGTAGGGGATAATCCTGAGTACCAACCACATTGTGTGTGTGGGTATAAACCATCTACAGAGGCAACTGTGACACCAACTAGTTATAAATTCATTCTAAAAGTACAGTGCAGACAGGGCCTCAGAAAAGCAAAAGAGCTAGCGTTCTTCATATAACAGTTTTGCAAATCTAAAAGAGCCCAAAACTCTGTGAATCCCAGCACTAGCTGCACTTTCATAACAGTTCATAACACTTATCCTATTTCTGTAGTACAGATTCATGCACAATCAGTTGCTTGTAAAAACAAGTTCTTTGGTTTTTAGACATTTCATCACCTTGTCCACGTGGCCCATGTGATCTTTTCTATTAGTGTGGCATCTACCACTTGCTTTCCCAATGGCACCTCATGAACCTGACGTTTATAGGCACCGGTTGATACCTGAATGTAGAAAGAGTATATTAACTTTTCCATAAATGTATTTTGATGTTATTTCAATGTTTCAAAATTAAAAGTTTATTTCTTAACAGTAATGGTTTCCAGAGGGACAATATAGTAATTTACCTATATCTCTAAGTTTATGGCTTTCCTTGGGCTTTTGTAATTGAGTTATATACAATATAAACTAATCACAACAAATTTACAGTATGAACTAACGATCTGGCTGTTGAATGAGCAGCTCATACTAATAATCCATTGCTGATGAATAATCTCTCAATCAGATTATTACCTGTACTATCTCACATCTTCCTGTCAAAGTTGGCAGCATCTGACATCTTGGAAGGAAACTGTGAACCATTTGGGTTCATGTACTTTAGTACTGTTGACTTGGACAAAAATATGTGAGATACTGTATAATTATCTACTGTGGTATTAAAAGTGTGAAACTAACTTTGCTTCTAGCTAATAGAGAGCTTTTGCATTTTTGTTGCCAGCAGATCCTCTTGCTATGTGATGATATACATTGCACTATGCTCAGTCTTAGAGATTTTTCATACAGTATCTGAGAGTAAAGAGAAGCCTTTATGCTCTCAGCTTCCATAGCAAAAATTATAGGTCAAAACATTGCTGGCCCCTTGAAGCAGGTGCAAGGTCAAACAAAATCCCTACTCCCTGAATCCCCTTGCAAGAACTAGCCACCCTTGCAGACTACTACTCTTTTGTGATCCCAAAGGGGCAATGACATTTGTGAAAGACAAGGATCTGCCCCCACTCCCTTTACTGTGGATAGCATAACTGCCCAGCTGTGGAGAAGAGCACATGCTGTACCTCCCCCTTAAAAGGAATAGCAACAGGTATGCTACCCACACACACTTGGGAGCTTCAAAAGGTGTCGTGCACAATACTTCATGCAGCTCCCTGTAGCTCAACATCTTTGATGATGAACAGCGCTCTAAAGGCATATTTGAGCCCTAAGGGTACAGAGTACTTGTGTGTGTGAGACCAGCCTTTTTCTGTGGACTTTGCAGAACACAATAGTGAAAGAATGTTGTGACAGGTTGGACACCCCCTCTCCCCCCGGGATGTCACCTGGTGTGCTGAGATACCCCTGAGTCTACCTGTTTTGCCAGCATGGGCCCTCTTTAACCTGTCTTGCTGAGCCAGGTTCTTAAAACATCCTCTAACACACACACAGGCAGGGTCACACCCAGCTGCAGATCAGCTCTGGGAAGACTCAGCTTAAGGGACTTGCTCCAGCACTCAGATGTCCATCTCCCTTGGAGTACAGACCCAAAGATATATTATGAAATGCGCCTCTTCCCTCAATGTGGAGGAGGGGGTACACAACTACTGTCCTTCCCCCACCCTCTGCCGCTAACACTTCAGGTACAACAATGAAAAAGCCCGATAGTGCTGATGGCCCATCAGCAAGAGACAATGGACTGTAAAAGAGTTTTGTGTTCCTGTGAATATGTGGGTCAGCCTGTGAAGAATGGCTACAGGAGCCCTACAGAGTCAGGTGGTCTTGTTACCTGATACTAAAACATTACCTGGGACTTCTTGTAACTTTCCACTGTAAGAGAAGGGGGGCCAAACTAGGAAACAAAGGACTCCCGCCTTATGCAAATCCTATTTAAGGGTGGGGAGTGAGGTAATCCTGGTTGTGAGAGCTCTCCTGCTTCCCCACCCAAGATGACTGCTGGAAACAACTAAGAATGAACTGGGGAAAAGAACTGAACCCAGGCTGGAAGGGCGTCTGGCCTGTGAAGAAGATTATTAGAACCACATTTAGAACTTACATGTAACCAGTTTCTTTAGTGTATTAAGCTTAGTTTGCATGCTCTGTTTTATTTTCTTAGTAATCTGCCTTGTTCTGTCAGCTACCTCCTTAACTATTTCAAATACACCTGTTATAGTTAATACATTTATTTCTGGTTTATAATATAACCCAGTTTATGTGATTTCTAACTGGGGGGAAGGAGCAAGAAATTGTGTACACCCTCCTCCACATTAAGGGAAGAGGTGAATTTCATATAATTTTGGGTTTGTACTCCAAGTGGGGGTGAACAGCTGGGTGCTGTGGCAAGCCCCTTAAGCTGAGCATTCCCAGAGCAGATCTCTATCTCTTTGTGCAGGTGGGTGTGGCCCTGCCTGTGTGCTTGGCTGGAAAAGGCTGGGGACCCTAACCCAGCAAGGCCAGGTAAAAGGGGGGACCCAGGCTGACAGAACAGTCTGACTCTGGCATCCCAGCACACCTGGTGACATCCCAGGGGGTCCAACCCGTCACAAATGTACCCATTTTTACTGTTCTACCATTACTGTGTGCGCCTGTACTCTAGACCCAGCTTTTACCTTCATGAGGCCAGGTAATTCTACCATACTGATAAGTCCTAATAGGGTAATATATAAGTGTAGTTACAAATCCCTAGATTCATTAATCCTTAATTCCAACCCAACAGCTATTTGTTATTGCAGTTTTGAATACAGGAATTTTGCTGACAATTGGGATGCTGGTTATACTCACTTGCATACATGCCAGTACCCCAAAATGCTCTTCTAACTCATAGACCATTTCATAGCAAGGCTTGTACTTGTTTCTTGGGACAATGGATAGATTTACGGGATGTTTGTGGATGAACAGAGCTCTTTAGATCATAGAATATCAGGGTTGGAAGGGACCTCAGGAGGTCATCTAGTCCAACCCCCTGCTCAAAGCAGGACCAATCCCCAGACAGATTTTTACCCCCATTCCCTAATTAACCCCCTCAAGGATTGAACTCATAAGCCTGGGTTTAGCAGGCCAATGCTCAAATCACTGAGCTATCCCCCCCCTTTAGTCTTATGCTTTACAGGCCAGACTTTTGGAAGGCTTTTTATATGCTTAATTTTGTTCCTTTAAGTGTTTGATGATCAATTAATGAGAGGAAATCTAAACAACTGCACACCCACCTAAAACATACCTGAATATATCTGCTGTCTGCTGAAAAATCCATCTGAATAATAAAACTTGGAATATCTTTGCAGTAGCCTATCCGGTTTAAGGTTGTGCCTTGGGTGAGGTCATAAAAATCGACCGTATGTTCGTGTGAGCCAACAGCCAAAAATCTGTTATCGGGGCTGATTCTAGACAACAAATCATGAAGCAGGGATATAATTTGCTGTATTGGTGCATTTGTTAAGATTTTTGTTTGCTTTGATCCACTGTTCTTAAGGTATAAAAGTTCAATCTTTTCTAAGAAAAGACTGACAAACAATAACAAGTTCTGTTCCAGACCAAACCTCACCACTAATGTTGAAACAGTTGAATCAGAAAGAAACACTGATGCTTGAAGCATATGTAGTTAAGAATTGTTAATATTTCATTATTATGAAGTGCCTAACAATATGGGTAAAGTACCATTTACCCTTTGAGGCTGAGATACGGGATTTCCCAGTGCTATGTGGTGATATTGTACCGTAACATTAACTCCTCTTATTAAAAGTCTAATATGCAAAGACTACTAGCTGTATTCAGGTGGAGATTAGACTCCTAGACTTTAAGGCCTGAAAGGGCCATCATGATCACCTAGTCTGACCTTCTGTACAGCACTGGCCACAGAACTTCACCCACCCATTCCTATAGTAGGCCCATAACCTTTGTCTGAGTTACTGAAGTCCTCTAATCTTGATTTAAAGACTCCAGTTAAAGAGAATCCATCCTAGTTCAATCAGGAAATGACCCTAATAAGGACTGCAGGTTTAGGGCCACATTGTCCTATTTCAACTGAATTTCTGATGTACCTGATATCCTGAATAGCTGATTTCCGGTCTCGTTTTTTGCCCCAAACTTTAAGACTGTTTACAAGCAAGATGACAAATTCTCCATTCTTCATTCCAATAGCTACCATCTCACCATCAGGACTATATGCAGCACATCTTGCAGCATGGCCTAAATTCACTTTATTCAGCAATTTCTGTAATAACAAAAACAATGATTTCTTACTAGTTTTTTCTCTTTATAGAAAACTATCAAGAAATAAGTCTCTTTTAAGCAAAGCTATCTATAAGAGAACAAAAATACACTTACTTAAAAGAAAATTGTGTAGTTTCCTCAAAATGACAGTGTGAAATTTCGCATCGTAAGTCACTTCTCACCAGATATACATTGTAAAATAAATTTGAAAGTAAGGCTTTGATTAAAATGGACATTTCAGTGCTTCCAGTCATCTTGCACTGAACTCATTACAAGGAGGTAGCCCAGCAAAAAAGGCTGTAAAATCAGTTTCTATATGGGTTTAACGTTGATTTGAATAATTTATTTAACTATTAAATCTGAAGTTCTTTTGATTTGTTAAACCAGTTAATGCCATCAATGTTCCTACTTTTTCACTTACCTTACTGTGTTTATATTAAATGTAGTTGATATTAAAAAATGGTCCATATTATTTTTGAGCCACTGTCAGGTAGTTTGGATGCAAATTATTCCAGTAAAGGGGTGCTTTTATTATCTTATTCCACATACATACCCAAGCAAAACAAGCTATAATGGTAAAAGTGTGAGCTTTGCTGGTATAACTGAATCTACCCCAGGGGACTTCTGCCAGCACAGCTATGTTGTTCAGGGATCACATCTCTTTACATACCTGACAGACATAACTATGCTGGCAGAAGTCTGTAGTGTAGATATAACCCAGGTCCAACCAGATAATTAATGCAAATTTAAGACTAAGATACAGCTCTGGGGGCCAGTGGAGCTACAGAACTTAAGTGGTGGTGGAAGGAGGTATTATGTTTGCAGACAGGGAGTTTTGGAGCACTTTCTACACAATTTTTGACGGCACAGTGTGTACTTTCCCCACTGCTGGCCCTGTGCACCCTAGCTGTTTGCATTCAATTAGAACATTGACCCAAGCCATTCTATATCTTCTAAATGTTGTTTTTAAATACATTTCACAGTCCATACGTGACAGAAAGCACTTCTTAAGCCTGGGAGGTTTCAAATAGCTGTACATCTCAGCAAAATGCAGATGGATTTCTTTTAGAAACAGCAATGAACCATATCACCAAAGACTCACCTTTTCACACTACAGATTAATATGGGAACAACATGGAAATATAGGGACAAACGTGCCCTGTATATGTGTATGCTTCAAAGAGAGTTGCATACATGAACAGAGGGCAACACATAGCTTACAGTTGGAAAAATCTTGATTATGTAATGATAGTGCTACTGATGACATGCTTCTTAGTTTAAATGGTACTCACTTTGTCACAGAGGTCCCATATTCTTGCTGTTCCATCATTACTTGCAGTGATAAATATGTCTTTCGTGGGGTGAGCTGCTAAACCCCAAATCTCTCCTTCCATGTGATTGTCAATCAGCAGGTTTGAAGCAGCATTTTTTTCTCCTACTTCAAGTATTTCCCCATCTTTGGTTCCCACTAAAATTTTGCCCTGTTGTAGTCAAAATATGGTGAGAACCAGATTATCAAAATAATGCACATAATATCAACACATTAAAATATAAGATGTGTAACAGAGAATTTATTATAACTAGCCTTGATTTATGCTTCATTCAGCATCTTGAAACAATATATTAAGTGAACTAGTCTTTCATTTCCAGAGGCCACTTTTCAAATCCTGGTTTAGGTCCCTAGGGGTTTTTTTTGTCCAGATTATAGAGTTTATATACAATTTGGCATGACTGGCAGACTCTGCTCATGAAAGACACAAAAGTGGAGTAACAGTGATGTTGGAAGGATTCAGATGCAGTGGCGGGCTTCACGATAAATTGTAGCACCTGCGTATGTTATCAGTCCTTGACTGGCATGAACACAACATTCATCCACAAGATTAGGAAAAAATGTCACTGTTTTCCACATTCTTTATCTTTCATTATTTTTATCTTATATTCTTTTACCACTGAATCTCTGTATCTCCTCCACAGTCAAATATACTCATCCACTGTCAGGTAGTGACATTCACTGAAAACGGGTGGTTATAACACTTAGGTCAAATTCAGAAATGATACATAAGGTGGTGTAATTTAGACCTCTTTTGGCTAATTTAGACTTGCTTGATCCTGATTCTCATTTATGCTAAGGGCTCCTTTACACTGTGAGAAATGTGCAAAGGAGTCAATGTAAATGATCATTAGGGCATCTTATGCTCAGTTAGATTTTCTTAGACCTGCTCTACCTATACTTAATGTACTCTAAGTTGGTCTAACTTACACTGCAAGGAGTTGGAAGAAAAGTGTAAGAAGAGGTAAATTAAAGTAGAGTGAGACCTACTTATTAATGATTTAGAGCTAAGTAATATTGTTATTATTATTGCACTGAATTTGAACCTCTGACTGTACACTAACACAACATGTTTAGAAGATTAAGGATATTCTGAATTCCTAGGGTCCAATAATGCAAAGTTAAATAGAGCCAATATCATTATGTATCAGTATGTGCAAATAGCTGTTAGACATGTACTGTTTGTGCCTAAAAATGTAGATGTGCAATTGTTTACTCATTACCATAAAAGTCAGGCCATAATGTCTACATTTTACTGGTGCACAAAAATCTACTATTCAGGCTGAGTTACAAAACTTTTTACTTTTTTTATATTAAATAGAAAACTATTTGTAATTAACATGTTTAGAATTTTAGTGTATTCTATTACTGATTTATTATACAGTTTAAATCAAATGTTGTAATTCACCTTTTAAAATAGTATTCTTTGTCTATCATTTACATCTAAAAATACTGCCATGTATTACACAAATACAAAACATAAGTATTTGTTTTTAAGAGCTGATGCACATGAATCAATATTATATTAAATTTCCAAGGTCTAAATTTAGCAAGGTACTTAAAAGCAGTGCTTAACTATAAGCATATGAGTAGTTCCACTGACTTCGCTTGAGGACCAAATCAGGGTCTAAAGCCAATTCTGTCCTCAGAATGCATGTATGACTCCCACAAAGGAGTGGCTTGAGCATTGGCCTGCTAAACCCAGGGTTGTGAGTTCAATCCTTGAGGGGGAGGGGGGATTTGGGGCAAAAATCTGTCTGGGGATTGGTCCTGCTTCGAGGTCTTGAGGTCTCTTCCAACCCTGATATTCTATGATCCTAAAAGGAATCTCTCTGAAGTTCCACATGCACTGATCTAAGCACAGAATTTGGCTCATAGAGGCACAGTTTAAGCCAGACTTCTAAAAATGTTCATACATCCCTTTGGAATTCATACCCCATATTTGGATGTGCAAATGGGCATGCAAATCAGGTAGATTAGTGCATGCAAACTGAGCTAGGTGCATGTGCAAAATTTTTGCACATAAACTTACAGGGGCCTCAGGGGCCTCAGTGATTATCATCTCTTTGCTCTCTTCCTGCTCCTCCATGCAACAAGAACAACATCAAGAATAACATAGGGACTTCTTATGATGAAAGTAATAGGCAGTAAATTGTAAAACTTTTCATGTTGACTCACTTACTTTTCCTCTACAAACCGAGCGCACACTCTCAATGAGCTGTCCTGTCTCAAGCTGAAATGCTCGGCAGCGCTTCATCTCCTGGTCCCACAATTTTACGGCACCGCCTTCTTTTGTCCTGAAAAAGAGCAAGTTGTCAACTATTATATGGAATTCTCCTTTCCCACTGACTGGAATTTATCAAATATGCAGATTTCAGTGCTAACGTAGTACTTTTTAGAAATTATTGTTTAAATACCAAAACATATGCATAATCTCCTTGTATTGTATTTAAAGAAGGTGCATTACTGTATTATGGCAAGGAAATAATAAAAATGAGTGTATCAAGCCATCATTTTGCATATTTTCCAAAGCAGTGCTGCTACTATTACTACTACCACCACTACCATGATGTAAATGGCAAATAGGTTTTGTGATAAAATCAGGACAAATGGCTGCAAGGGGAGAGGAGAAAACAGACCCAGAAGGTTAAAAGGCCCTCCTCCCTATCAACTGGGGAGGGGTGACTACAGGTCAATCAGGTTCAGCTAAGAAGTGGTTACCAGAGCTCAATTAGGATCAGCTGAGAGGGAGTTACATGAGATCAGTTAGGATCAGCTGATTCCAACTAAGGGCTGCCTGAGACCTTTTTAAACTTCTCCCCTCCTGTGGGGAGAAGAAGTGGGAAGAGAGAGAGGAGTCAAGCTACCAGTAGGCAAGTAGCAGCAAGGAAGCAAGCCTCTCCAGGAGGAGAGGCTGCATTCCCTCCCAGAAGGGAGAAAAACAAGCCCAAAACACTGGCTAAGAGACGGACGGACTGCCCCTGTGCAGCCAAGAGGGACTGTTTTACCCCAAGCCCGTCTCATCAAGGCTAAAAACAGCTGAGGCTGGTCAGACCGAGAAGGTGCCTTGCCACAATCTCTCTGTTAATTAATCTCAAACCACTATCGCATTGGCTGTAAAAGTGGTCAACTCTGAAAAAGGATATTTGACTTCTGGAAAACAGAATATCTTGTAAATCAAAGATAAAGAAATGGTCAGAAGAGAGAGTCTGGAATTTGAGTAAATCTAACAATTATGACAAAAATGCTGCTCTCAGTCTTTACTATGCAGGAGGTCAGAAACCCCACAAAAACAGAAGGAAGATTGCACAAAAGTTATCTCTGCTGCCATACTACTGCTCCTCCTGCTCCCCATTCCACTGTTGTGACCCACATCCTCCCCCCGTATTTTACTTATTAACATCCCTTGCTATGTTTTGTGTCATTTAGATTATAAGCTTTGTGGGACAGGTACCTCTGCTTTTTATATATAGACGCTCCCGAATTACATAAACCCGACGTACGCAAATCCGAATTTACGAAAAAAGTTCAGTTAGCTAGAAATAGGAGGGGGGTTTTTGGGAGGTGGAGGGGGGGTTGCATAATGGTCAGAGATACATTTCCGACTTATGCAAAATTTGAGTTACACAAGGTGTTCCGGAACGGAACGCTTGCATAAATCAGGGAGCATCTGTATCTATGAAGCACTTTGCACATCTAGGGCTTTGTATAAATAATGATCTAATAATCTGCCACAGACATAAACAATCTATTTTAGGAAGATGTGTATCTTACGGTCTTTCCTTCCCTCCAGTTACAATTAGTCCATCTCGAAGAGTTGTGTACATTGTAAACACTGGACCTGTATGAGCTTTTGCCACCAGTCTAACCAGAAAGTGATCCTTCCACACATAGACATCTCCATTTATGGCACCAGTAAATGTAAGGTTATTCTATAACAAACAGAAACAGTCTTCACTATAGAACTCATTAATAACATTTTTACCATTTCTTTAGAAAACTGAATTAAAACTCTCTTCTTGTTACTGTATTTCTCACAGAAAAGTCAGCTGTGATACAACCATAGTATGTTAGTAAAATCACATACTTTGGAAAAGAACAATTGCTTACCCTATAGTATCTGTGGTTCTTCAAGATGTTGTAGTCAATGTGGATTTCCCTGTAGGTGTGCATGTGCTGAAATTTTCAGTGTCCACTGGGACCACACATTCACCCTCTGTCTGGTGCCTCCTTGTGTTCTCACATGAGGGCATAAAGGGTGAGGTGGACACAACTCTCCTTCAATTGCTTTGCAATTCAAAGCTCATGTTAGGTGAGGACTCTAAAAAGTGGGGATGGATGGCAGGTTGTGAACTCCACACCTACAACATCTCAAAAAACATAGTTACTGCCAGGTAAGTAGCCATTCTTGGATGTGAAAAGATTGTGTGCTTCTGTATTAGAGTGTGATAGGCCAGTATTGTTGCTAGGTGGACTTGGAGAGAATTGAATGCCAGTGCCACCTTTTTTCAGGAGCAGCATAGAGTCCAGGATCTTTGGTATCAGTGCCTCCACTGGGTTCAAACTGATTGCCCTGTCCCAATTTAAGAAGTCATACTCAGCCAGTTAGACATGGCAGTGAGCCAGATGAAGAAAGGCAGAAGAATGTAATTTTCTCCCAAATAGGCTGAGTTGTCTTTGGGGCCACTCTTGCTCCATTTAGACTTCTCCTGTCCACAACTAAGGACCCTGGAGTTGGAGTGTGTGTAGAAGTCCTCAAATCACATTGAAGGTACTTGGTACCTCAGTCTTTCATTTATAGGGAAGGCAATCCTGGCTTGACCAGAAGCTAACAGGATGTCAAATAGCTTGTGGGGGTTCTCTGACATGCACAAGTTGCCACTGAAATGATTTAAAGACATCAGACACTGGTACTTGTGTCACTTTGTCATGAGATGAAGATGAGAGGTCCTTAGGTGGTGATAGGGGGTGTTGGAGTTGCTCTGGCCCCGATTTGGTTCTTCCTGATTCTGTGGCAGCAGCGGTCTGCCCAGCAATGCTGAAGGGGAGAGTGACTTCTTCCTCTTGGCAAGTGCGGTGAAGACTGAGACAGTGGACCCCAGTAACCCAAATAGGGCCAGCGGGGCCTTCTGTATTAGTACAGTTGGCTCTCTAGGTAGTGGCCATTCTAAGAGCTGGTGGTGTCTGAATCCTGTAGGGGAATCAGGCAGATCTCTCCATGGTGTTGACCACTGACCTGAGGGGATAGGGTTCTGTACTTGAGGACAGGGAGACTATAGGACCTTGTGAGGAGTTGCTCTCTTCTAGGGTCATGGATGAAATGTATGGCACTCTCAGTACCAAGGTCTGTCCTGGCAGGTCCTTCCTAGATCTGTCTTCCACTGAAGGGTGCAGTCCCAGAGCAGGCTTGGTGCCAGCAGGGTCTCATGCAATGTAGTCTGCTCCTTTCCTCTAGCCCAGGGGTAGGCAACCTATGGAATGCGTGCCGAAGGCAACACGTGAGCTGATTTTCAGTGGCACTCACACTACCGGTCTGGGGGGCTTTGCATTTTAATTTAATTTTAAATGAAGCTTCTTAAACATTTTAAAAACCTTATTTACTTTACATACAACAATTGTTTAGTTATATATTATAGACTTATAGAAAGAGACCTTCTAAAAATGTTAAAATGTATTACTGGCATGTGAAACCTTAAATTAGTGTGAATAAATGAAGACTCGGCACACCACTTCTGAAAGGTTGCTGACCCCTGCTCTAGCCCTTGATGCCGTGGGAGGCCTGGTGGATTTTTCTCCAGAGAGTTTGTGTTTTCCGTCCTTATGGAAGGACACCAAGTTCCCCTGGAGACTCTGCCTCTATGTTTGTAGCGACTCCTGACAGCGCTGGACTTTGACATTGTAGGTGTTGGTGCCTGTTGTGATTCCAATGATGTATGTGGTGGCTTTTGTGATGGGGTAACTATGCTGGTTACTTTTTTGGCACAGTATTTTCTGTGCCAGTTTTGGATGTGGTCTGTCTACTGACAGAGAGCTGGATGACACTGGCTTGTCCACTAAGAGTATCTTGGAGCTTGTCTCCTCAGGGTCTAGTGAAATCTTCATGAAATATTCCAGAAGGTGGAATTTGAGGCTCCTGTCTTTCAACTTCTGCATTCTAGCAGAAAATGACAGGCACATCGAGCATCTGCTAGTTATGTTGGACTCTCCTAGATAGAAGAGGCACTTATTGTGCCCATCTTTTAAGGCGATTAGTTCATCACAGAATGGATAGGGCCTGAAGCTCACAGGTTTTGAGCATGTCATGTTAAGAAGCCTCGCACCAGGAGGTCTGTAAATGAAGATGTCCAGATTTGTGTGTATAGAGGTGTGGTGAGGTGGCAAAATTTGCAGATGATACAAAATTACTCAAGATAGTTTAGACCCAGGCAGACTGCAAAGAGTCACAAAAGGATCTCTCAAAACTGTGTGACTGGGCAACCAAATGGCAGATGAAATTTAATGTTGATAAATGCAAAGTAATGCACATTGGAAAGCATAATCCCAACTATACATATAATATGTTGGGGTCTAAATTAGCTGTTACCACTCATGAAAGAGATCTTGGAGTCATTGTGGATAGTTCTCTGAAAACGTCCACTCAATGTGCAGCGGCAGTCAAAAAAGTGAACAGAATGCTGGGAATAATTAAGAAAGGGATAGATAATAGGACAGAAAATATCATGTTGCCTCTACATAAATCCATAGTATGCCAACATCTAGAATACTGTGTGCAGATGTGGTTGCCCCATCTCAAAAAAGATATTTTGGAATTGGAAAAGGTTCAGAAAAAGGCAACAAAAACGATTAGGGGTATGGAATGGCTTCCGTATGAGGAGAGATTAATAAAACTGAGACTTTTCAGCTTGGAAAAGGGACGGCCCATGGGAGATATGATTGAGGTCTATAAAATCATGACTGGTGTAGAGAAAGTAGATAAGGGAGTATTGTTTACTACTCATAACACACAAGAACTAGGGATCACCAAATGAAATTAATAGGCAGTAAGTTTAAAACAAATAAAAGGAAGTATTTCTTCACACAACGCACAGTCAACCTGTGGAACTCCTTCCCAGAGGATGTTGTGAAGACCAAGACATAATATAGTGTTCAAAAAAGAACATGGAGAATAGGTCCATCGATGACTATTAGCCAGGATGGGCAGGAATGGTGTCCCTAGCCTCTGTTTGCCACAAGCTGGGAATGAGTGACAGGGGATGGATCACTTGATGATTACCTGTTCTGTTCATTCCCTCTGGGGCATCTGGCACTGGCCACTGTCGGAAGACAGGATACTGGCCTAGATGGATCTTTGGTCTGACCCAGTAGGGCCATTCTTATGTTCCTATCGATATTGGTCTAGATGGGTCAATATGAACACAGAGGTTGAAGATCAAGACAATCAAAGGAGTTCAGAAGGGCTGCAGAAGGTTTAGCCAAAGCTCAGAAGTAGGGGGTCCGACACTTTCCAGGTTCCATCTTGCTGCCACAGGTGGTAAGAGGGAACTCTGTGAGGGGAGCAGCCACCGCCTCACCCTTTATGCCCTCACATGGGAGCATGAAGAAGCACAGGATATATGCCTGGCCTCAGTGGACACAGTTCCTCAAAAAATTCTGGTCTCTCACATGAGGCATATGTGAGACCCACTGACACATACTTGAAGAACAAAACTTCCTTTGGACTTGTGTAAACTGTCTGGATTATGAGTGTTTAGGAGAGGGTCTACCTGCTGATTTTGGAGTGTAATCGACTTTTGTTCAATGCTCCCAGCAAACAGTGCCCCTTTACAGGAAGTGGGTCTCAGTTTATAGAAGATATAATTTCTGTTGGAATCTCTCCATGAGAAATACAAATGAAAAGGTTAAAATGAGTTAACAGTACATTATTGCTTCTTTTTGTTGATTATTGTTCTCTACTGAATAAATAGTGATTAATAATTCTGAGTTTTGACTTGTCTGTAGGTGGACCTTCATGTATGAAAAGAATTTTGTGATGACAAGTAATGGGGTTACACCTTGGAACTTATGTAATGAGAAATAATTAATAGTATAGTCTACAACAGCTGTGATTTTGGGCCTTATTCTCCACTGCATTATTCCAGTTTTACAACACTGTAAATCCATGAAATCAAAGGGTGCCAGGCACTTTTGACAATAAGGACACTTATTTGGGCACCTGAGGATTTAGGAACCTACCTTTATGCACTGATATTTAAAACCTTGGCCCTGTTGTTTAGCATGGAAGTTTAAGGGCAGGTTTAGTGTTACCATTGGTGTCTTGTATAGATTATGCCTGTCCCTGGCAAGAATAATCTGCATGGGATTTCTGCAGGAGGCAGAGACTAAATAAGATCCTGGTCTCACATTAACACTTCATTTTCAGTGCTGATGCACATCTGCGTGTGCCCTTAAAATCAAATTCGACCATTAAATTGTTCCCTAATGACCACACAGGAAGGACTATACAGTGTCATCACAAGCTAGATCACTACAGTATGTCACATATAACATCATGGGAAATTTTTTTTTATAAAATCTCATCACAAAATTAAAATATTTAATTTTTCTAAATTAACTGATCATCTGCTAAATAATTTAGTACTGGAAATAAAAAAACACATTAGGAGATGTTCCAGGTAAGCACTAATATTCCAAAGGACATTTATTATGGGACAAATCCTAGTTCAAGAGGACCCCCACAATGTTTAGAGCACCATTTAAAAGTCCCAAGTTAAAGGTTTAAGTGTGGAGTAAGGGTTCACAGAGCTTTGCATGGGTCACCCACATTGGAGTGAATTTCATCCAAACTGGCATTGATACTTTTGGGTTTTAATAAAAAATTATTGAAATTTCATAACAAGCAATTTGAACTCACAGCTCCGAAGGCAACAGAAAGCATGGTTTGCATTTTGGCATCTTCCCTGGAACCAACGACTCCTTTTTTATAAAGTAAAGCACTGCCAGCTAGTGTCCAGAACTTCATGTGTTTTACCCCAACGGACACAAACTGAGTATCTGAATCCGGGCGGAACTCTACAACAAATATTCTCTCCAGATGTCCTCCTCTGCTAGCCACTTTAGCCCCTGTTTTAAATTAAGAAGACATTAAAAATAAAGCTAAAGTTACTTGCAAAATTAATCTTCCATGTACTTTTATAAAAATAAGTTGACTAGTACTACTGGATGGCTTAGGGCACTACTTCCCAGACACCAAAAGATGAGTCCCTGTTCAGGAAAAGAAATAAATGCACCCATCTTGCACCATTGCTTAATTTATTTTAATTTTGCAAGCCCCCTGTCCCTGGCTAGCCCTTTACAACACCCACACTTAAGAAATGTTGATGTGCAGACAAATGGATCCTACTTTCAAAATTCTTTGGCTCTGGGCACATGCAGTGCATGCATACCCACAGTGTAATACACATAGGGACCAGTACTCAAACAAGAACACTAGTTTAGGGGTCACTCTACCTCTGATAGTATGAGCCATGCCATGAACTGCTAACTGCAGGCATGCCAGGTCAAAACACTAAAAAATAAAATCAGAACAATTTGAGACATGGCCACTTTAAAGAATGCGGTACCTATAAGTCAAATGCAATTATACGTTGGGATTTAAGGGTTTTAATCCATACCACGTACAGAGAAAAGACTTTTTAGTATCAGGCTTGTGGAGAAGAACCTCATAGGGATGGATATGCAGGAGTGGGGAAAATAGTGGCAGGGTGAGTGAAGTGCCCTGGCTGTGAGTGATTACATACAGACTCTCAGCCTAATGGGAATTATTATCACTGATCTACCTACTGCAGGGTTGAAAACTAAACCTTATGGAGCCATTAAGATCACTGATCATTGTCAGTCTGACAGCTACAGCAATTTCCTGCAATATCTTTGTGAGATCTTATTGAATTAAGTTTAAATAGCTTTGGAGTCTATTGGATTATAAATACAAAGTTTATGTATTATTGTGGGATTGTATGTAACTTCTCTAGGGAGGAGAGCTGGCCAATATAAACCCTAAGAAGTGTTATAAGCTTCAAAGAACTACAATAGATTCCACTTAATAGCAACCAACTATTGACAACTTATTATTTAGTTGACAAGTTGTCAAGATATTGACGACTTCCAGTTCATAGCAACATTTTGCTGGAAACCAATCTTGTCCTATTGACTTTAATGGTAATGGGATTTGGATATTGGCAATGGCATGCCTCTTATTAACAACATTTTTTGGAAGATAGGCGCAGTGCTTCCTTCTGGGGCTGCAGCCCCACAAACCTGCCTATGCACAGAGACTGCACAGGAAGTAAAGGGCTGTGGGCTGGGAGAGGAGGCTGTGGACAGGGCAGTAGCATGGAGGGGACGGCAGCCCAGATGCTGGAACTGCACAGTATCTCTCCAAGCTGTGTCCTGCCAGGAAGGGAGGGAAGGGGAGGCTGCACCAAAGAAAGGATGTGCTGGGCCCCAATCCCCAGAGAATATAGGGACAAGTATGGAGCCCCCAGCTCCCCTGCTCTCTGTAGAAAGCCCCAGCATCCGGGCTGCAGGTTCCCGTCACTGCTGCTGCCCTGCCTGCAGGCAGGCTTGCAGGGGTCCAGCCACGGAAGGCATGTCCCAGAGCTTCCTTTCCTGGCTAAAGCCCCACAAATCTTCTGTCTGCTTATTAGCAACTGCTGGATAATTGCAATTTTTTGCTGATAACTGAGGGGTTGCTGAGGGGAGAGGAATCATTTTTTTAAACAATACGCCAGACAAGAAGGAACTTTTGGGACAATGTTAAATGGGTGTTCTAGGAAATACCTGGAGGGAGGGGAATGCAAATTTCCACCTCGGGTCCTAACCTGAGGGACCCAACCTATGCCCTGAGGAGAGAACCATTGTCTGACTGATTCAATCTCTGAAGATCAAAGACCCAAGCAGTCTAAAGGCCAACTTATGCATAGGTGTTCTTGTTCTGAGCAAAATGCTCTTATGAACTTGTAAACAAAGAAAACCCCTGTGGGGGGTTTGAAGGACTGATAACCTACCAGAGCCCTTGCTGGAGCAGGGGGTGATCTCTGGTAAGCTTATTAGCATGCATGTAGGTTTGTTTATTGTTTTTAGTATATTTTATCTGTAAAACTTTAATTTTAAGAATAAATGTTCTTGCTTAGCTGTGTGGTAACTTACAACTGTGACAATTATTCTGTTTTTAGCCTCTGGAGAGAAAGCAAAGTGCAGACACAGGCCTTTTTAGGTAGTCTGGCTTGCTGCGGAACTCACAGTGTAGGCAGGGAACTATGCAACTTAGAAAAACTCTGGTCAGGAGGGAGAGAGACATGGATCTCTGCCCAAGAAAGCTGAGGAGCTGAGAGCGTAAACTGGTTGCCCTTGCTGGACCATATAAAAAAATACAGGTGCAGTTGCCTTGAACTGTGACATTCTGGAGCACCATTAATCAAGGGTTCAGGTTGAAAGCCATACAGGAGCCTCCCTCCATAACAAATGAAGGAAGCAACAATTCCTAGTGTGTGGTCTTCTCCTAGAGTTAAGATCAGAGGCCAGTAGTTTCTTGTGCAGTGAGTGGCAAAGAGATCCATTTCCCACACCTCGCACTGGAAGATCTGACGAAAACTTCCCTGACTTAAGGACCACTAATGAGGTTCTATTAATTACTGACAGTCACATTCTTCTTCTCTGCTAGATAAGTTGAAACCAGGAATTGTATTACAGAACAGAGCCCTCTCCCACACCTATTGAGTTTCTTGACATATGATGTATTCCCTTGTGTAATCCCTGTGTACTAGGCTGAATTTCACCTTGATGATAGTTATATGAATTTATTGAAGATAGAATGGATCACTTAGTACAGAAGAGTTGTCGTTTGATTTATCTGTGTCACACATGGGGCTAATCACAAAGTCTTGTCCGACAAAGTAAATAATTGCAAATAATAAAGAGTGAGGGGCTCTAGATTTACCTTCTTGCCACCTCCACACAATGATAGTATGTTCTGGATCGACTCCTACTGAAACCAGAAGTTTGCCAGTAGCACTGAAGTTAATATAGTTGACCCCTTTGGCATGGAAGCAGCGCAGCATAGAAAGAGTCTGCTTATTCATAGCATCCCATACATGAATAGAAGGAGTTTTACCTTAATGCAAAGATATGCATTAAAATGGAATTAATTCAATTTGTGAAGGCTTCAATGTAAAATAAGAATTTTCAAGAACAGGGCATTAAAAACATTTTTTAAAAGATTAAGAACCACACAACTTAAAAAAAAGCTTCTAACAACTTATGAAACATAGGGAAAAATTACTGTAGTTCATGAAATAAGACAAATTCTAAATGATCAGCAAAACACACATGGAAAACCTCATGCAAAATAAACTGTCTGTAGATGTTTTTACTTGTATCCGCAATTCACACAGATACAACCAATTAACATGAAACTTTTACATAATTGCGTTGACTAGAACTCACAAAACAGCCTTACCTGGAAATTCTGTTATATCACCTGCATTGTGAGAGCAACAGCAAATGAGGAAGAACCAAGGGAAAACGATAGCTGAAATAAGTCATGTTTCTAATGCTGAACTCAGCATCAGCACCAGAAGGAAGCACAAAATTAAAAATTTGAAAATGGATATGGATTAAATAAACAAAATAAAAAAGTAGGAATACTGTTGATGTTCTTTAGGAACACTGTCTTTTATACACAAATATAAAACAACAATATTGATTGCTTTCTCTGTTTTAAATAAGGCATTTAATGCTAGAGCTATGCAGGCCTTTTTACATTAAGTGATTTTTTACACTAAAATGTGTCAATAATTATGTAGATCAAAAGTCAGAAAAACTGATTTTATGGGTTCTTTATTAAACAATGACAGAAAAGAAGAAAGGGGCTGTTCTGCAAAATTTTGTTTTTCATTCCATCCCATCACAGGAATCTAGTTGAGAAAAATGTACATGTATTTTATTATAAGGAACGTGTGAGTATAACAGGTCCTAAACATATTTTTAAAAGGGCTCAGAAAAAGTATGCAATTTGGGTTCTATTTCAAAATTTAGGACATGATAGTAAAAGCTATCTCCAAGATACTATGAGGAATGTTGAAATATGGTGAATTGTTTTCCAAATATAAGAAATTTAAACTTAGGTACCAATGAAGTCATGGATAAGGGTTACTCTGATGAGAGTTACATGAAAATGCCCCTTTGACTCCAAATATCAGGAGAGAAATACAGGGTGAGATTCTCCTTTCACTTAAACTGGTGACTTCAGTTGGACTACTCACATGAATAAAATTACACACAAGCTTAAGTCTTTGTAGGACTGAGTTCTACTTTAGCATTGTTGCATGAACTGCAGAGTCAACTATTCTGTCAGATGAGATCTTAAGTTAAACACATGCTGCTTTCTGTGGGCATCAAAGATTCCACTGCACTTTTTGTAAATGTTCTCATATTTCTCTTCTCGGTGTTGTGCAGCATGTTGTGCTATGGTTCGCTCCAGAAGTGAATGCATTTCAGAGAGCTCATATATAGCTAGTGTGTAATGCACTTTGGGACCCTTCAGGATAAAAAGTGTTATACACATGTAAATTATTATTATAGAATATTATTAATGTATTTAACTAGACACTGTGGATTCACCTGAATGAGATAGAGGCAGAGTGAGACCAATAGGGAAAAGGCATTTTTTCTTTTTAAATGTTATACAAACTCTGAGAATAAGAAGACAACAGCAAATAGAATATATAAAATAAGATTTGCTCCTGGCCTGAAACCTTTTTATTCTGAGTTTTAGCCCAGGATGCATTTACAGGTAAGTTCTAATCTTCTATAAATAGAGATTTCTAATGGAAAGGCTGACAGCAGCTGAACATTAGCAGGAATAGCATGTGAATTTTAAGAGCAAAACAGTGAATAAAGAAACTGCAAAATATTCCTTTGCAATAGCACACTAGGTACTCTTTTGACGGAAGTAAAAGAATTCCATGTAGTAGTTTTTTTGAATATTTTTCCTAATTGTAATAGTTTGAACTTGTATTTCAAATAAGGCTAATAGATAGCTAAATATATTTTCCCTACCTTTGAGCCTGCTAAATAACCAAATTTGTATTAATTTCAATGAGAACCGATCATGCTCAGAACCTCACAACTGGCAAGGACTATTTGTCAAGGTGATGCTATACTGACATCTCCCTGTCTCACTGTTAAGGTTCATTAGTATAAAAGTTATGGGTTTGAGTCTTCTCTCACTTACTGTGGTGTAAAATCAGGAGTAACTGTGCAAAGTTCAGTGGAGTTACTTACAGCAGTGTTAAATCAGTTTAAGTGAAAAGGGAAATCAGACCCTATTTTTCTATCTTGAAGCTTGCATCTGAAGGGGCTTGATCATGCAGCTCTTAGTCCTGTGAGTAACCCACTGGGACCACTCATGTGGGTAAAGATTACTCATATAGGTAAGATTTCAGAATTGGGCCTTTGGGGCTCAAACTGTTTTTTACTGCTAAAGGGAGTTCTTTGCAGTTTTCTCTTATCCTGTTTCACTTTCTGAGGTTTTATGAAGGTGGTTTCATTATAATGCTTTCATTGTTCAGGAATGTCTTTGTTATACTGTCAAGTATCAGAGGGGTAGCTGTGTTAGTCTGGATCTGTAAAAAGCAACAAAGAATCCTGTGGCACCTTATAGACTAACAGATGTATTGAAGCATAAGCTTTCGTGGGTGAATACCCACTTCGTCAGACGCATGTGACACATCTGTTAGTCTATAAGGTGCCACAGGACTCTTTGTTGTTTGTTATACTGCTGAACAGTGGCTTGGTAGGAGCAAGAAAGTGGGCTCTTTATAAATGAGAGGATTACCAGCAATACTAGCAGTCCTATTAAAATTTTTTGTTTTTCACACTATTATAAGACATGATATCCCATGATCTAAAATTCAGTGGCTCGCAATCAGAGATGACAGACATTTAAATAATAAGATAATGCTGAAAGTTTTCATTAAGGGTGAAAGGATAATCTGGGGAAAGTAACTCTGATAATTCCCAGATTCCTAAATATGAACGCACCCAGCCCCAATTAATCAGTCCCCCAGATAAATTTTAAGTAATACTTTGTTAATATGGAGAATCACTTACCAATCTGGCTGGTAGCCACAACATTTTTATATTTCGGGTGCTGGTTCACAGTGAGGCAGAGAATATCATCAGTATGCTCCAGATAGAAACTCTGACTTCCTAAGAAAATTCAAATAAGGTTTTATTAAAAATAGTATTTCAGCGATGGCAGTGAAGAATTTTTCCAGCAATCCATTGCTATGGTCCACACTAAAAGATCAAGTGGAAGGATGGGAGGCAGGGCAATCATTACTTAAAATACAGCACAAACTTGCTGTAAACAGAGTTTTAAAACTGTTCACAAAAAGACTGTTTGCTCTTTTTCAAATACTTACATCAGGGATGACTAGGGAGCAGCCCAAGGGCCACAGCCTGTAGCCATCATCTCCCTATAACTTCAGGGCAAGGACAAAGTTGATCAATGGATAGCTCAGCTCTCTTTCTTAAGTGGAGAAACCTGTGAGAGGGGGCCAGAGGAACTCTAAAGCTTTGTGAAGTTCATTTAGCAAATTATCCCCTCAAGGATGACTTTGGATGGAGAGAGGAAAATAGTGTAGATGGGATAATGCCTCCCAACCCCACAGATACTGGGGATGCACTGGGAAGGACATTCCCAAAGTGATGGAGACACGATGGCTCAGATGGCTCTCCTTTCTTCCTGGCAGAAAGATCCTTAAGATGTACTGCTGACATTATCTTTGTTCCCTCTGGCTACTCAGTAGCAATTATAGACTGGGGCCTTGTCTTCACTACAGAGTTTTGTTGACAAAACAGTGGAGGTATACACACTACAATGCTCTTTCCACTGACAAAACTCTCCTGCTTTGCCAACAAAATAAATCCTCAACGAGAGGCGTAGAGCTTTTTGTGGCAAAGTTACATCGACAAAGTGTCAGTGTAGGCACTGCACTTGGCTATGTTGCTGTAAATAGCCTTCAGGAGGTGTCCCACAATGCCAACACTGACTGTTCTGGTCAGCAGTTTGAACTCCGTTGCCCTGCACCCAGGTACACAGGCATCCGCCCCTTCCCCTTTAAAGGCCTGGGAATTTTTGAAATTCCACTACCTGTTTGTTTGGCGTGGACAGCTCACATCCCAGCTGACCATGGTGGCTCCACACAGAAAACATTGTCCTGTTTGGAGCTGAGTTGTTGGATCTGCTGGTACTGTGGGGAGAGGAGGCTGTGCAGTCCCAGCTCTGCTCCAGCCATAGAAACTTTGATACCTACGTCAGATTTCTCATGGCTGTTGAGTAAGGGCTACAAACAGGAAAAACATCAGTGCCATGTGAAGATAAAGGAGCTGGGGTAGGCGTACCAGAAGGCAAGGGAGTCAAACTGTTGCTCTGGTACTGTGCTGAAGACCTGCCAATTCTATAAGGAGTTGGACGCTATCTTCGGCAGCAATCCCACCTCCACAGCCAAGAGACCCAGGATACTTTGTGGGGATGGGGCTGGAGACAGCGGACAGTGGGCTCAATCCTGAGGACGAAGTGGTGGACAAGAAGGTCGAGTTGGAGGACAAGATGGGACGGGAGACAGGCTTGTCCGGTACCGTGGTGAGCCAGGACCTCTTCTCAATCTAGGAGAGTTCAAGCCAGTCCCAGCACTCCATCTATGGTGTGCATGATGCAGGAGAGGGGAGCTGTGGTAACTAGTCCTTTGAGTTGATGCTGCTCAGTTACATGAGGTAGAGCTGTCCTTTGCTTTGTTATATGATAGAAGTGGGTTAAGGGATAGAAATGTACAAGACTAGCTGCACTGGTGTGTGCTTCACATTCCCCTGTGCAGCTACACAGTAGGACAGAACATGTGTTAATGCACACTGAGATTTCGCAGGAATCCTCCAGAGAGATCTTTAGGAAACTTTTCTGAAGGTACTTGCCAATCCTCTGCTGAAGGTTCCTTGGCAGAGCTGCTTTGTTCCTTCCCCCATTGTGGGAAACTTTCCCGCTCCAATTGGCAATTACCTATGCAGGGACCAAAGTGGCACACAATGACCAGCATATGGACCCAGTCTGAAGCCGCATGCATACAGGAGATGCACCTTTGCTTACCCTCAGGATATTGGCTTTAATGACCCCTGCCTGTGGAAAATGGTGGCAGAATTTGTAATTTTATCCCTACTCCCTTGCAGTGATCCCTTTAAAAAAACACCTAGACCCTTTGTCCCATCTTAAGCGTCCCCCGCCTCTGCCAGGCAAACTCACCATGTTTATGGTATTCGCTGAGCTGTGTGCTTGCCAAGGGACAGTGAGAAACTGATTCATATTTTAAAAGAGGCGTATTTTACTGTAATGTTTCAATGCTGCAATAACCATCATGCTTCTGTTTCTTGTGCTTCTGCAGATGTGGCCTTCAAAGAACCCCCTACACACCGGTGGAGTGCCTCTGCCAGATAAGGAGGACATGTTTTGAGAGATGCGCCAATCCTCAGATGCCAAAAAACAAGAACACAGGGCATGGAGAGAGACTTTAAATGAAAATTAGAAACTAGAAGGCAGGTTGGTATGGAGAGCCAGGGGAGCACCTGCATAGATGATAAATGTGATAGAGGAGCAAACGGAGATGTTGAAGTCCCTAATCGCACTGCAGGCAGAATATATGCATGCTCACCCCCCACCCCAACAGCTGATACGGCACTGCTTGCCACATCCTCCCCAAACTGCTCCCACCCATTCCTTGCAGCTTCCTGGCCCGTCTCAGTACCCCATTCACTCCACCCCTTCAGACAGCTTCCAAAATGATAGCTGGAGTTACACGCAGGAATTAGAGCCTATATCAGGACACTGCCCTTCACTGTTATCTCTCTTTCCACCAAACATTTTCTGTGTGTTATTAATTGGCTTTTAATAAAAACATACTCTCTGAAAGATAATCTTTATTTGTCTCCTACACACGGTGGTTTCTGTTGGAATTAATATACAGTGGCAATTGGAACATTTGCAGACTACAAATTATGGTCAGGAATCATCAAAATTTTCATGCAAGGCGGCAAGTTAACAAAGCATGGCAGAGTGCTATATAAAAAGACTTACATTACTGGTGCTCATTGTCAAAATGGTGCCTCAAAGTCTCCTTGATTCAAATAGCCTCCCATTGTGCCCCTCTAATAGCCTTGGTATCCGGCTGCTCAAAATCAGCTGCTAGGTGATCTGCCTCTGTGCTCCATCCATTCCTGGGGGAAACTTTTTACTCTTAGTCTCACAATATTATGGAGCACACAGCAGGCTGCTATGACCATGGGAATATTTTCCTCATTCAGGTCAAACCTGCCATAAAGGCAGCCCCAGCGTGCTTTTAATCTGTCAAACGCACATTCAATGGTCATTCTGCACCTGCCTAGCCTATTGTTGAAGTGCTCCTTGCTTCTGTCCATGTTTCCGGTGTAAGGCTTCATGAGCCATGGGAGCAAGGGGTACCAAGATCACTATGGGTATTTCAACATCCCCCATTGGAATCTTCTGGTCTGGAAAGAAAGTCCCTGCCTGCAGCTTTCTGTACAGGTTAGTGTTCCTGAAGATGTATGAGTCATACATCTTTCCCTGACCACCCCGTGTTTATGTCAGTGAAATGACCACGGTGATCCACAAGCATCTGCACTACCATAGAGAAGTACCCCTTTCTATAGATGTACTCTATCACAAGATGGTCCAGGGCCAAGATTGGGATATGCTAGTCATCACCCCACCGCAGTTAGGGAATCCCATTGCTGTAAAGCAATCCACTATTTCACACACATTGCTAAGAGTCACAGTTCTTTGTAGCAGGATGTGATTAATGGCCCTGCACACTTGTGTTAATGCAACCCCAACAGTGTACTTCCTAACTCCAAACCAATACATGACTGACTGGTAGCAGTCTGGAGCTGCCAGTTTCCACACAGTGATCGCCACGCACTTCTCCACCAAGAGGGCTGCTCTCATTTTGGTGTTCTTGTGCTGCAGTGCTGGGGCGAGCTCCACACACAGTTCCAGGAAGGTGGCTTTCCACATCCGAAAGTTCTGCAGCCACCTCTCGTCATCCCAGACCTGCATAATGATGCAATCCCATCACTCCATGCCTGTTTCCCGAACCCAAAAACGACGGTCCACTGTGTGCAGCTGCTCCTTCAATGCCAAAAGTGGTGTTTCTTTCCATGGCACACAGCAGATGAGGCACCTTGGATGCCTGTTCAGATTTGGTGCTCATGATATACTGCATGAGCAGCCACGATGTGTTCAAAACAGTGACCCCACCCCAACAGTAGAGAGCAGTGCAGGATCCATCCTTTCAGGCAGAAATGACGGGTGCACAGTAATCAGGGACCATTAAAAATGGCATGAAATGCAGTTGGAAGCCCATGGAATAATGGGATAGAAAAAACATTGAGCCCACACCCATGATGCACTGTGATCCACTCCACCTTCCCACAACTGCTTGCTGCAGAAGGTGGTGAGTAGCACAGTGGAATAGCTATCCACAGTGAACTGCTCTCACTGTCAGTGCTAGCGCACCAAATGTGGATACGCTCCGCCGACAGAAGGAACGTTGTGTGAACATGCACAAGCGATATAATTATATTGTTTTTTGATTGGCGGCATAACTTGGGCCGACAAAACTCTAGTGTAGACAAGGCCTGGGACTGAGAGGGAGTAAATACAGCTAAAAGCAGGATTAACTTCCAAGTCTATTTCTCCATGGAAATCTGGGGCATATGGAAGGGTTGGGGCTAGTGCTTAATTTGTGCCAGGGCTTGCCAAGGCTGAGCCCCGGCACCTCTAGGCTTGGCAGTTCATAGCCCCAGCACCTCTGAGCTTGTCATGTCAGTTATGAAAGTAAAAAAATTGCTTGAGCCCCTCTTTCATTACAAATTAAGCACTGGTTGGGGCTGTGGAGCATGGCCAGACTTCTCCTTGCTCCTCCTCCTGTTTGTTATATGAAGAGAAAGTTGTTTTCTTATCCTCTCCAAAACACAACATACACACATTGTGCAAATGAGTAAAACTACTCTTTTCCTGGGATTTGACTGTGTTAAAAAAGTAACTCAAAATGAAAAAACAGGTTGGGATCCTCCTAGGGTTCATTCCTGAGGACTGTTCAGCCCTAGGGTTACCATATGTCTTGGTTTTCCCAGACATTGCCTCTTTTTTGAGCTTCCTTTCTCTCTCTGGGTGGATTTTTCAAACAACAGGAAATATCCAGGATTTCTAGAGAGCAGACAAGCTGCAGCTCAGAAAGTGCCCCAGTAGGTCCACTCCTTGGTTGTTTCCTCCCTTGCATCCACAGCTGATTGGTCCATTCCCTTGAAAGCCACAGCTCCTGTATTCCGCCCACCCAGGCCCCAGTTCCCATCCCTGGGGTGGGGAGGTCTTGCAGGAATGTGGTGACTGATGGCTGGCGCTGTGTCCTGAGCTTGCGCTAGCCACATTGCCAACATGACAGGGTGTGACATTGCCCCCCATCTCCAGTGAGTACCCATGCCACAGGTAATCCCTCTAGCTGTCCCAACTATACTCCCACCGGCTCCCTCTTTTTGGGAACCTGAAATATGGTAACCCTATTCAACTCAACCCTAGGCCCCCTTTTCTTAGAGAGCCACTGCCATCTCTCTTATATTCAGGGTGGATTTTAACAAGGGACAGTCAAAAAGCCTGCAAGAATTTCCATAGCATCTCTCACAGGAGCTACATCTGCTCACAGGAACAGGGTGGCTTCACAAAAAACAGTGGCACCCTATTACATTCATACTACAGTACAGTAACCAACAACTATAGGCTAATTTACATTAATTCCCTACCAGGATGCAAAAAGAAAAAAGATATCTAAGAAAGTGACAAAATTATGATTGTTGAATGAAAAGGTTGTCTTGGCCATAGATTTTTTTGTTTTTGTTTTTTTAATTTCGCAGTACTGTTTCATTGTCAATTACCTGTGGAAAGATTTTGAACTATGCCTGCTGCAGCTGTGTGGAAAATAATATCAGCACCATCATTGAGGTAATGAAGATTGTTGCGACAATCAAATCCTCTGTATCCAAAAACATGGTCTAAAGCCAGCTCCTAGTTAAGTAAAGAAAAAAGATTACATAGTGGAATAAAAACAAACAAGGGAGTTACAAACCATGTTTGGATCAGATAAAGCGGGGTGCTAAACTAATTAGACAAGCAGGGGCGGCTCCAGGCACCAGCGCACGAAGCACATGCCTGGGACTGCAAGCCGCATGGGGCGGCCTGCCAGTCGCCGTGAGGGTGGCAGTCAGGCTGCCTTCGGCAGCATGCCTGCGGGAGGTCCGCCAGTCCCGCGGTTTCGGCGTCAATTCGGCGGCGGGTACGCAGAAGGCGCTGGACCAGCAGACCTCCTGCAGGCATGCCGCCGAATCCGCGTTACCAGCGGATCTCCAGCAGGCATGCCGCCGAAAGCTGTCTGACTGCCGTGCTTGGAGCAGCAAAATACATAGAGCCGCCCCTGTAGACAAGCAAATATTTTGGGAGACAAAGAAATAATTAAACAATAATTAGTAAAATTTCCCTATTCTACTATTTTGAGGATGGTATTTTCATTGACTATCTACAATACTACTGATTGACTAGACCACTGAATTCATATTCTGATTCTTAAATATATCAGTCAGCTATAAACTGATTGTTTCTTTAAGGTCTATTCAAGGTAAATTTAAGGTTAACAAACATCTACATTTATTTTTTTTCACCCAAATTAATACAAAGAAATTACAATGCAAAATTTATGTGTAAAAAACAGTTACCTACCTTTCATAACTGTTATTCTTCGAGATGTGTTGCTCATGTCCATTCCATGTTAGGTGTGTGTACGCCCATGTGCACGGTTGTTGGAAATTTTTCCCCTAGTGGTATCCGTAGGGCTGGCTCTGGATGCTCTCTGGAGTGCCGCACCTATACACCAGTATATGAGGCACCACCATATGAAGTTCCTTCTTGCCATCGAATCCAACAGTGGTGATGGGCGGGTCATGGAATAGACATCAACAAAACATCTCAAAGATCAACAGTTATGAAAGGTAGGCAACTGTTTTTTCTACTTCGAGTGCTTGCTCATGTTGATTCCATGTTAGGTGACTCACAAGCAGTATCCCTAGAGGTGGGCTAGGAGTTCACGGTCATGCAGCCTGCAACAGTGCTCTGCTGAGACTGGCATTGTCCCTGGCCTGCTGGATGATGGCATAATGGGACTCAAAGGTATGGACAGCCGATCAGGTAGCGGCTCTACAGATGTCTTGAATTGGCACCTGGGCCAGGAAGGCTGCTGCTGAGGCCTGCACTCTTGTGGAATGGGTGGTTTCAATTGCCGGCAGTGGGTACCTTTACCTGTTCAGAACAAAACTTGATGCAGGCTGTTATCCATGAAGAGATTCTCTGCAAAGAGACTGGCAGACCTTTCATCCTATCCGCCACTGCGACAAAGAGCTGAGTTGGTTTTCAGAAGGGTCAGATCCTCTCAATGTAAAAGCTAAGGCCCGTCTAACATCCAGAGTGTGTAACCTAGTTCTTCACTGGATTTATGAGGTTTTGGAAAGAACACCGGGAGGAAAATGTTCTGATTATTGTGAAATTGCAACACAACATTCGGTAAGAAGGCTGGGTGCAGTTGCAGCTGGACCGTATCCTTGTAGAATACAGTATATAGGGTGGTTCCCACATGAGCGCTCTAATTGTGGACATCTTCGGGCCGAAGTGATTGCAATATGGAAGGAGACCTTCCACGAGAGGAGCAGCAGTGAGCACGAGGCTAATGGCTCAAAGTGGGGCCCTGTGAGCCTTGATGGTACCAGGTTCAGATCCCAAGCCAGGATAGGGTAGCGAACTTGAGGATAAAGTTGCTCCAAGCCTTTGATAAATCTAGTTGTCATAGCATGGTAGAAAACAGATTTGCCCTGGACCAGAGGGTGGAAGGCCAAGATGGCTGCCAAGTGGACGTTGATAGATGAGACCACTAGGCCTTGGTGCTTTGAGGTGCAGCAGGTAGTCTAGGATGGACTGTAGTGAGGTCTGGTCAGGAGACAGATTCTGATCTAAGGCCCAACATGAAAAGCGTTTCCATTTGGCCAGGTAGGTTGCCCTTGTGGAGGGCTTTCTGCTACCCATCAGGACTTGCTGAACTTGAGTTGAGCATGCTTGTTCCTCCTCATTCAGCCATGCAGCAGCCACATCGTCAGATGCAGGGATGCTAGGTTCGGGTGCAGCATATGACTGTGATTCTGGGACAGTAAGTCCGGCCAGAGTGGGAGCTCTAGCGGCGCTGCTGTTGAGAGCTGCAACAGCATGCCAAACCATGGTTGGTGTGGCCATGCAGGAGTTATCAGGATAATCCTTGCTCTGTCCCACTTGATCTTTAAGAAGGTCCTGTGCATCAGTGGAATCGGGAGGAAGGCGTAGGTCAGTGCCCCCGACCATGGGAACAAAAAGACATCAGACAGGGAGCTGCTGTTGAGCCCTCAGATCGAACAGAACTGATAGCATTTTCTGTTCTGCCTGGAGGCAAACAGATCCACCTGGCGAGTCCCCCACCTGTGGAAGATCACATTGACCACCTCTGGGTGGAGTGACCACTCATGGTGAGACAAGACGGACCTGCTGAGGAGATCTGCTAGTGCATTCCTGGCCCCTGGGAGGTGCGATGCTACGAGATGAATGGTATGTTGGATGGAGAAGTCCCCCAGCCTGACACAGGGCTGAGGAGCGGGCTCCGCCCTGCTTGTTGATATAAAACATAGCAGTGGTATTGTCCATTAGAACTTGGACTACCCTGCCTCTCAGGTAGGGAAGGAACGCCTGGCAAGCCAGGCATATCACCCTGAGTTCCCTGATATTTATGTGTAGGGAGGGTTCCTCCTGCAACCAGAGACCTTGAGTGCTGACATCAGCTCCCCACCCTAAGTCTGAAGCATCAGAAACCAGTGTCACTGATGGGGAGAGAGTTATGAAGGGGACCCCCTCCAATATCACATGCAGGTCTGTCCACCACACCAGGGATGACAGAATGTGTGGCGGAACTGTGACCATTAGGTCCAGATTTTGTCTGGCAGGGGCATACACTGAGGCCAGCCATGCCTGCAGTGGTCTGAGGTGTAGGCGAGCATGTCGGACCACGTAAGTACATGCTGCCATGTGGCCCAGTAGTTTGAGGCATACCCGGGCAGTTGTGAGTGGGTGAGCTCTCATATGGGTGATGAAGTATGTCGTGGTCTTGAACCGTGACTCTGGTAGGGAGGCCTTGGCATAGGTAGAATCTAGCACTGCCCCTATAAACTGTATCCACTGAACAAGGATAAGAGTTGATTTTTGCTCATTTATAAGCAGGCTGAGATCCTGACAAGTGGCTCGCACCAACACAAGGCTGTGTTGGACCTGGACCCATGATCTGCCTCTGATTGGCCAGTCATCTAGGTACGGATAAATCTGTATGCCTCTCTGCCTCAGGTAGGCAGCCACTACCACCATACATTTCATGAAGACCCTTGGAACGGAGGCAAGACTGAAGGGCAGCGCCGTAAACTGGTAATGACTCTGGCCCACCACAAAACAGAGGAATCTCCTGTGCTAATGGAAAATAGAAATGTGGAAATATGCATCCTTCAAATTGAAGGTGGCGAACCAGTCTCCTGGATCCAAAGAGGAGATGATGGAGGCCAGAGAGACCACACAAAATGTCAACTTTTTGAGATATTTGTTGAGGCAGCGCAGGTCTAGAATGGGTCTGAGGGCCCCTTTAGCCTTCAGGATTAGGAAATACTGTGAATAGAAACCCTTTCCTCTCATGTTCTGAGGGACTTCCTCCATGGCCCCTATCTGCAAGAGGGTCTCCACCTCCTGGGTGAGGAGTTGCTTGTGAGAAGGGTCCCTGAAGAGGGACAGGGAAGGGGGGTGGGAGGGAGGGATGGAGGATAACTGCAGGATGTAACCAGATGTTATGGTGTTGAGCACCCAATGGTCCGAGGTGATTCTGGACCAAGCAGTAAGGAATGGGAAAAGCTGATTCAGGAATCGAGAAGGGGCTGGATCCAGGGGCAAGTCTGGTGCGTCATCTCGTAGCATCGCACCTCAGCTGGGCACACCTTTAAAATGACTGCCTCGAACCACCTTGGTGGTGAGCAGGGCCCAGTTGGGAACTGTCTCCTGGTGGCCTAAGGTGTATATAACCGGAGGGATTGGAGGCTGGCCTTTGAGTTCTTTAGCCTGTGCAGCCTAGTGTCCATTTGCTGCGAAAAGAGAGCTGGTCCTTGTTTGACATCCCAGAAGACTGCAGCCATGAACTATGCCTTATGGTCACAGCTGAGGACATAGATTGTGAGGCACAGTCAGCTGCATCCAGTGCCGCCTGAAGAGAGGCCCTGGCCACCGCCTTAACTTCCTCCAAGATGGCCGAGAACTCCTGCCTTGCCTCTTGAGGCAGGGAGTCTGTGAAAACTTGACAATCTAGTTCCAAGTGTTATTATTGTATCGCCCCAGTAGAGCTTGCTGGTTGGCAATACGTAAGGCTACAATTATGTCATGGAGGTCACGGAAGTCACGGAATCCATGACTTCCACAGACCTCCATGACATTTTCTGCCTTGGGGTTGGAGCTCCTAGCTGGCTCCCCTGCAGCTCCCAGCCCTCACCCTGGTGGGGGGACATTACACCTCCCAGCCATGGTGGATGGTGGGGGAATCCCACGCAGCTGACCAGCCATGGTGGGTGATGGGGGGACCCTGCAGCTGCCCAACCACAGCGGGTGGCAGAGGGATCCCATGCAGCTGCCTACCTGTGGCAGGTGGTTGGGGGACCCCCTACAGTTGCCCAGCCATGGTGGGGGGACCCAGCAGCTCCCAGCTGCCGTGGGAGAATCCTGCAGCTGTCCAGCTCCAGCAGGGGAACCCCCTGAAGCTCCCAGCCACCATGGGGGGGGGTGAGGGGACCCCGCAGCAGGTCAGTCCCCAAGAGTGGTGGGAGACCCCGGAGCTCCCACTCACCACACGTGGCGGGGAAGCCGCTGACCTCCCTGTTGCCGGGGGTGGCGGGCCCCACCCAGAGTTGCTCAGCTGCTACACTGGGGGGGACCCCAGAGCTTCCTCTCACCGCAGCGGCGGAGGACCTGGGACTCCAGGCAGCAGTGGGTGCTGAACCCGTCTCCCCATTTTGTCAGGAATATATTTAGCAAAAGTCAGGGTCAGGTCACAGTCTTCCATGAATTTTTGTTTATTGCCCATGACTTATCCATGACTTTTACTAAAAATATCCATGACAAAATCTTAGCCTTAGCAATACATAACTGGAAACTGGCTGTCGAATAAACTTCCGAAAAGGTCCAGTTTGTTCGCGTCTATGTCCTTCATCGTCTGTTGAGACCACCAGTGACCTGGGGGAGGGTGGAAATACATGTACTCAAACCCCAGGGCCAGGACATAGTACTTTTTCTCTGCCCTCTTTGAAGTTGGGGGCAGAGAAGATGGCGTTTGCCACAATGCTTTTACTAGTTTTAGCACCCCTGTCATGCACTGGTAAGGCCATCTTAGAAGGAACTACTGCAGCCAAGATGTCAAATAGGCTCCTTGAGAACCTTGATTTGCAGTCCCAAGTTGGAGGCTACGCTTTTGAGCAGCTCTTGACGGGCATGGAAGTCATCAGGTGGCAAAGGGTTGGCAGGCCCGGTCACTGCCTCATCCGGGGAAGAGGAGGAGGAGGCAGCTATAGGCAGTGTGGCTGGTTCCTCCTCTGCCACAGGTGCCAATTGTGCAGGGGCTGCCAGAATCTTGGTGCTGAGGTACAGCTCCGAGTCTGATGCCTGTAGCGCCGGTGCCTGTAGTGCTGAAGCTAAGGTCTAGCCCTCAGAAACCACAGAGGGGTTTGAATATGAGCCCTTCATGGACAGAAATCCCCAGGGGGCCCAATACTGTCATTGGGGTGGCTATTGGGTGGACTGCCAGGGGCCCAACGGTGGGCCTGTCGCGGTTCTGGCCCATGGGATCAGTGCCGACCATGCCTAGGGGATTGGGAGCGCTCACACTCACACCCAGAGGAAGACTCCTCCCTGGGAGTCCAGGGTGGGGCTGAAGCTGCCACATGCTAGCTGGTACCTGGCTGATTGGGGACAGACGTCATGATTGGAGAGATGCCTCGGAGACAACGACTGGCATCTTGGTGCCAGAGATGCACTTTGTGGTGCCAGGGATCGGTGCCAGGCAGGCAGAGATTGGCCGGCTGGAGAGTGACAACGTGGTGATGGGGAGCAATGGGCTAGGGATTGGTGCTGTGAAGGAGATCAGTGCCACGAAGGAGATTGGTGCCATGTTGGAGGCCCAGATGGTAGGGTCTCATTGTGGGCTACCCTTTAGAGGGAACCCGCCTTCGAGGAGTCCGCCGAAGATGGGCCCAGATCCTGAGGCATGAGTGGCACCAGGAGAGACATCAAGTCTCTTGCCGCTCAGAACACCTCCGGCGTTGAAGGCACCAAGAAATGTTACAGGCCCCGACCACTCGTGGGAGTCGGTGGTGGATCCTGATTTGGGCTTGGTGTTCTGGGTGGAATAGCCACTGCCCAAAGTGGCTCCAGGGAAGATGAGTAGCCCGGCAGGGGTCTCAACTCATGTGGGGATTCCAATTTCCCGGGTAGTTGTGCATGGTGCTGGGGAACAACCTCAGTTCGACTGCGACTTCTTACATTTCTTCTTAGACATGGAAGAGGGGGAGCGGTGCCAGGAAGATCCCAGTGCTGGGGGAGCACTCCACACTGATGCCGAGGTGCTCAGTGCTGAGTCGGAGCGGCATGGTTCTGACGTGGAGCACAGGGCAGCCTCCATTAATAGTGCTTTTAATCTGATGTCCCTGTCTTTGAGAGTGTGAGGTCTGAAGTTTTTGCAGATCCTGCACTTCTCTTTAATATATGCCTTCCCGAGGTACTGAAGGCAACTAGTGTGTGGGTCACATAGTATAGATTATTTTTAAAACCTATGTGATATTGACAGACCAGGTAATTGCTGCAAATTGTGTCGATAGATAGCTATAGTATTTGGCTTGCTCAATGCATGTAGTGAACATATATTTTTAAAATTAGGGACTACATTTTCAGAAAAATGTGCACTCCATAATGCACAAAAAACCAGCATAATTTGGGGCACCATTTTGATTTTGTATGCAGTCATGATAACTGCATGTGCAAATAACCAATGTGTAACTAGTATTTACATGTTTAATATATCAAATGTCTGTGTAAATTAGGGATGTACAGAGAGTCACAACCAGGCCTATACATTACTTTAGTCTGCACTCAAAGTATGGGTGAAATTAACACAATAAGCATTAATACTACAAAAAAGAAGAAGAAAAAGTGCTAAGCCTGACCTCAACCAGTTTCTTTTTTTGTTGATATCATTCTTTTGCAGTTTCTCAGGCTGAGGAGCAGCTCTGCTAACTGGTGGCCTGAAACAAACACAGAGAAAACAAAAAAAGAAGATAATTAATACATCTGAAATGCCTGCTGTACTTGCATTGTAATCCTTGTATAATTAATCCTTACTTGGCAAAAGAATCACTTCAGATGCAAACGGTAAATGATAATTTATTCCTTTTTATTTAATCTGAGCTGCTTTTTCTGTGGTGATATAATCTTTGGGGTATTTTAAGGGCAACATTTCACAAAGCATAGAGCTAGTGTATTTATTGCAACATTATATAGCACAGAAAGTTGGACTCTAGAAGAGCAAAACAAAATCGAAAGTAAACAAATAGAAAGTAAACAAACCAAACCCCCACAACTCAACCAGGCAAATAAAAGCTCAAAATATACATTAACAAAATATATCAGCAGGTGATCTTATGACAATAAAAGAGGAAAGAGTTACCTTGATCCCCTTGTAAGCGGCAAATAAAACCAAGTAAGAAACTTAGTACGGTTTATACAAATATTTTGGCCATTTTAATCATGCACAAGCATTTTCAGAGTTCATCAGTCATTCCTATGTGGCACAAACCATGCTATTCAAGCATGCCAGCAAGAACTAAAACAGAAATTAAAGAGTGCACCAGTCTACAAATTCAGAAAGGTCATACCCTGGCATCACTGGGCAAACTCTGCACTAAAGCTCCTACAGAACAGGGAGAAAAAAGGAAGCTATATTAATGCTTCCCACACACTTTATACTGAACTGAGAGTATACTTTTGTGTATTTTAGTTATTTCAGAGTGCCTTATAGAAACTGTAGCTGTTGGAAACATAACAGTCTCATGAGTGCTGCTGAGAGTTTCACACAATGGATGTTTGTTTGTATTCTAGTTCATCTCATAATTTAGCCTAATTCCTATTGATTCTTGGTAGGTCAACTTGTGTACTGAGACAGCTTCTATTTTTTTGCTCTCAGGGAAACAAGGTTCCTTTATTTTCTCTGAAAGTGTTCAGTCAAAACACATTATGTAATCATCAGTGATAACTGAACCAAACCATGGTATAATCACCACCAGAGACTAGATAGGAAGTAAATGATCATAAAATTTCATTCCATATAAAACATTAAGCTAAGCTAGAACATTTTGCAAAGGCCAATTTGAACCCAGAACTAGTATGAGGCCTTTAAATGAGCAATTCAGAAAAGCATCAATTGTTTTCTTGCATGTTTCCTGTTCTTTTTTCTGTTTTAGTGTAATTTTAAAATGAATTGATTTTACGTTTCTTCACCTAAGAATGTCTGTTAAAGTTTATGACAAAAGCAAGCCAGGATTTGTGATGAAAGTAAGAGGATACTATCACTATGACACAATCAGTAAATAATTAAGTAGCCAACACAAAATTTATTTTGAAAATATAAACACACACACACACACACACATATATATATATATATACACAAATATTGTGTGTATTTATATATACATATACATGTATATATATACACATATGCATTCAGTGCTTTATTTTCACATTGTGATTCATAAAAGAAATGTAGAAGAAAAGCAGCATCAAGTTCATTTTCACTTTTAAAAAGTCTATGGTCATCGCTAATTTGTTTGAAACTTAAGATGGCAGTGTTGAGGGTGAGAAATTTGCATTGTAATAAATTAAGAATATTTACCCTTTGTGACCTGTGCATTCTGTACTGCACAGTCATAGAAACCTGTGATTTTCCTGTGTGTTAATACTTACTTGACAATTCCCTGCCTCCAAAGGAAAGCAAGTTAAAACATAATACAAGTATTAACGGTTTCTTTCCAGTAATTTAAAGAAAATGTGTGCACATTAAGAGATAGGAGAAATGAATTCTAGAAAAATGTAGACACACTCAAATGTTATGGGCTTTAATATTTGCAGGCACTCTGAATCACTACAGACTTAGTTACTGTTCGTAATAATGGGCCTGATTCTGTTCTTACACCAGTTTTACACAGCTGTAACTCATCTTCCATGGACCTAATCCAGATTTATACTTGTGTGAGTCAGAACAGAATTAGCCCTGCTGTTTCTATGGATGGTTAGGTGGGAGTGGAAAAAGATATGAGTGACAATTCTCTTCCTCCCTTCAGCTAACCAATAAGTCTGTAGTGAAATATTTAGATGTAGCAGCAGAAAGAGGAGGATAAAACATGCATGAGCAGAGGTTGCAGCATTGGGAGGGTATACAAATTAAGTGGCTAGGTGAAAAGTTGGGAGTGGGAGATTTGGAAGAGAGAGGAAGAAAAGGGGAGAGGTTTTTAGAGGAAATGGAGTCAGGGTTGAGAGGAAAGGGTACAAGTGCTGAAGGGAGAGAAAAAGAGGCCTGACTGCAGGAAAAAAAAGAGACAGAGCTATTTAGGAAGGAGAGTAAAGAAGTAGAAAGGGCAGGTCAGAAAGAATTAGGATAAGCTCCCTGGGGCAGGATTGTCTCTTGGTCTGTGCGTGTACAGCACATAGTACAATCTGACTCTGATTAGTGCAAGCATAATAAAAATGATAATAATAATGAAAATCCTGTTCCTAGTGAAGTCATTGGAAACAGGATTGGGCCATCAGAGAGGACCTTACATGAAAGAGACAAATAAAACCGCTGTCACCTGAGAGAATCCAAGGAAAAAGTCCTGGCAACTGAGATTGGGAGTGAGCCCAAAAGCAAAGAGATGGGCAGAGAGGAGGACCTGGGTGCCAAGTCAGACACAAAAGTGAGCAAGGTGGCTAGCTCGAGAGCGCATGTTCTAATAACAGAAAAAGAAAAAAAAGCAAGCCTGAGAGAGAGCATACTCCCAAGAAGAGAAAGGCATGGTCAGAGAGAGAATAAGGGGATCCAAACCTGGGAAATCTGTTTGGGCGACGAAGTTATAATCTGAGATTTGATAAAAAGTTGTTCATATCATAAAAGATGTAAGCGAGACCTTAAAAAGCAATTTCCATTGGGTGCTGAGAAGGAATGCACATGTTTTTCTCATCATTCTAAAATGTGTTACAAAACATCGAGAACTTTTCACAGAAGTTTTAAAGATTTTGTGAAACCTAAAACTTCTTCATGTTCTCCCATCCTCATGTATGTATGGGAGTGTATTATAATAACATCATAATATTCAAGTAATAGTTAGGCTACACAATCTTTTTTTGTCATTACTTTTACTTAACATTTCATGGATATTGGACAGGGGAGTAAAAATAATGTTATTTGACACTGGAAATAGCCTGCTTTGGAATATAATGGATCAAATCAAATTTAATCAAGGTTAGAAGAAAACATCATTTAAAAAAAATCATATCAGTACAACAAAGTCACTAATCGTTTTTACAGTACCCTGAATGATTTGACATGTATGCTGATGCACTCTTTAAAACAAAAATAAGATATTGCAGAATGCATGGTGGTCATAGCCATTTTCATATATTTTAAGAAAGGAAGCTATTCATTGCATTCACATGTCATTCTAATTCAGTCTCCAAACATGAACAAGCAGAAAAGCAGATCAATAGGAACTATAGTCAGTTCTGAATGGGAACTAGAGACCTTTATTTTTAAATCAGCTGATTGTTGTAAGTATCCTGCAAAGCTGTTTAGCTGTTTGGCTACTGCAGGATCTTGGTATAGGCCTCCTGCACCTATCTATGGTTCCTTCCTATATAATAGTATGCACAAATAGGGCAATTTGGAAGATCTTGTTTGGTGATGCTAGCTGCAGACAGCATATTGCATCAGTTTCTTGCTTCACTGACTTCCAGGAAAAAATTAAGTTGTTAACTCTGAGCTAAAAAGCTTTGTATAACTTGTTTACTGGCTATGTGAGAGATCACTTTCTCCCCACATATTACCAGACTAGTAGGTATGATCAGCTGAGGCACTCAAGCCAACAGTCCTCAAATTTAAATGGCTAGCTGATCTTACTGGAAATTCCTCAACTCTGGTATTTATTTCCCTTAGTAGTCTGACAGAATCCAAGTTTGCTGACATTTAGCATACCCTGCAAAGTATGTCTCTTTTCACAGGCTTCTCTCGGGTGCTGGGGCTAGGTTTGTATTTGGTGTGTTGGGGGACATCAATTTATTGTATTAATTTAATACATCCATGATAAGACTGTTGGTAGCTGGGGACATTTGATAAATAAAAATATTCACTCAGTGAATGGAGAACTTTTGGAATGAAGGAGGTGGTATAGTGAGTGAATACATTAGTCTCTCACCTCTGGATGATTGGATTCAAGCCAGGTCATAAATGACATGCCTTTGAAGGTTTCCCTATGGTCCCTAGTGGACTCCAGTCCACATGATAAAAAAACCTCAAAGCAGTTGACAGTTCCTGAACAATGCTGGAGCAGAAAGCAATTTTCAAGTTAGAATGGAGAAATGTTGATGGCACTTTGTGTGGATAGACGCACTGTACTGGAATGACTTCATTTTCAAGCACACAAAGCTTCACACAAACAAAAAACCAGTTTGGAGCCAGCCCTCTGATCTGGCAACAGCACAATGGCTGCCTTGTAGAGATTGATCCTGAGTTCATTAGGCTACCAGCAGCTGGGAGTATAGCAGTCATAATATGTTCAAGTTCTGGGGGAGAACCACAGTGGAAGCAGTGTCCTGTCAATTACAGCTTGAATAGGTCATTTTGACATCAAGCTGTAGAGAAGGTAAAAAAGTGGGATCCTAGAAGACTCCAATCCACCCCAATGACCACTCTTCTGTTAAAAGACTCATTGTATTATTTCCTACACCCCAAATATATTTTTTTCCAATATATTCTGAATAGTCTCCACGAATGCGTGTATACAAATAGGGATTCATTTCCAAGCTGGCTTCTGAAATTGCACCCACAAAATTATACATGTAACATCCATATTTGCATGAGCAAATTGTGTAACTATGCATCTAGCTATTCAATTTATAGTGCAAAAATGTGTGTGCAATTTTGGAGGCTTGTTTGAAAACTGAGCCCCTGTGTTATAAGAAATAAATCATCAACAAAAGAATAACCAATATTTGA